TTTTAGCTTTTTTGAAATCCAGGGAGAAAACAACTATACACATCACTTTAGCAATAAGGGGGAATCTTAAAAACAGAGAACTTGAGCTTGAATTCTAGCTCTGCATCTTACTAGTTCATTTGTCTACGGCCTGAGATATGCCATTTAATCTCTCTGGGCTGCCATTTCTTTATGAGAGTGGCACTTTCTGTCATTACTATTTTATAAAGCTACTGTGAGGCTCAAATGAGATAATGAATGTACAAGGGCTCTAAAACATCTAAAGTTTTTATAAGTATCCTTTGTATGTATACAAGGTATATTATTATCACAACATAATTATATTAAAATAGAATATTACATATGTTTTTATATATGTATGGTTTGATATTTATATCAAGTGTTATTCAGAAAAAAATATTCAGGCTAAAACTAATCATTAAAAAAAAACTTTTTTTTTTTTTACCCTGGAAGTTATTTTTCTTTGCAAGTAAATTGGACTTTGATCCTTTCTTTCTTTGTCCATGTATTGTTTGACTCATAAAAGCTGGCAAAAGCAGGAGATAGAAGACAAAATGTCTGTTCCACATCATGGCAGGTGGTGAAAGGTCATCTGTCTTGTAGCACCTTTAATAGAAAAATCAGTTATAAATACTTTGGTAAAATAAAATGTTTGGTATTTTTTAATTTCAAGCCAGCAGAATTGAAAACCAGCATGTGACAAGAGAAAAGGGTTTTCATTCATATTTCCAGAAAAACATCTACACTGAGATTTTAGAAGATTTTAATTGAAATAAATCATGGCACCACAAGCCAACACTTATTACTGAATATTTCTATATAGTCAAAGAATTACAGCCAAGTAATCTGAATTTCCCATTTTATTATGAGAAGCAGAGAGTGGGAAAAGCCATTTGAGAACACTTCAGTCCCACTCTGTATGATGACCATGGTTCAAGCATAGGGTCTGTTTTGACATTTCCACATTCTTCAAGGTGATATCAGATTGCTACATGGTTGTTTCATTATAACTAATTCCTGATGATCTCAATATTTTTACAGGGTTGTAGAGAACCACCATCATTCCAGTCTTAATAATACATGCACAACTTTAGTGACTTCAAAAGGCTAGTCAAAAATGAAATTGCCCTTGTACTCCCATAGAACATCATTTCTCTTTTATGCTCTTGCTTGGAAACTTCATCTACAACAGAGTTCCAAGCTGGACTACAGCTGCATATCCAATGAATCAAATGAGTATGAGAACAAAAATAGCAGATTTGCTCAGCAACATTGTTCTTCCAGCGAAGAACTGATGGGCAGAAATAAGACTTGATATCAGAACACACTTCCTCTGAACATTCCTGTGAAACTATTTTTCTGGGTCAATTAACAATGAAAACTCTAATCCTGTATTAAATCTTCGGCCATCTTCATCCCTCAATATGCCCAGCTATCCGCTGGATGACTTTTAAACCCACAGGCTTCCCTGGCAAGAGAAAACTCACATGTGGCTAGCTCAGTATACTGGAGAAGGAACAAAAAGGCTTTTTTGAAACAATGTTCTGCATGGTTTGGAAATGCTCTCCTTCTTAAACTATACTGACTTCAGAAGTTCTGGAAAAGGAAATCACATTTTCCTTCACTTTGCCTTCAGGGAATGGGAACCAGGAAATCATGAGCATGATTTTTCCAGGCTCAAATAGGGGGTGGAAATATATGCAAAGGTAGTGAGGAATGGAATGGATCACTGACTTCTTTCATATATGCCAGATAGAGAAACCCAAAAAGGAATCAAAGCTGTTGGGTTGAGGATGAACCAATGGATGGCTCCATGCCATAATCTGCTCCTCAAGTAATATCGCCTAGCAGGAAGTTTATTAAGCTGACTCTGTATCAGTCTGGCCAAGCTCCTCTTTGGCAAGTGCATCAAGTGCAATCGGCCAGATGTCAACAGTTTTCAGATCAGGTATGTTAAGATGTGAAGACAGCTGAATGTTTAAAAAAGAAGAACAAGAAGTTTCCTGAGGAAATAAAACACATAAAGGACATCCTTCCCTCAAGTAATCCCTTGTTAACCAAAGAGAAGAATGCAGAAGGAAGTACAAGTTTAACTGAAGACTAACGTAAAAATAAGGCTGTGTGGCAAAACACAGCTGCTATTGCATTTTCAGGGGGGCAGGCCAGGGGAATAACACCACGTCCCTGGTGTGACATATGACCTTTCCCTTTCGTTGAGCCCATTATTATAAGAAGCATCTCAGAAGTTATAGGAATAAGAGACTGAGGATTTAATTTCATTGAAAATAAGACGATTTTACAAGCTACACGATCAATACAACTCTTCAAAAAAATCTAAAGAAGATGATTCCCATGCAGGACCCTGAGCAGAAAACCACTTTCTTCTCATTTGTTGGCCTCATTTTGGGCTTTGGAAATGCTGTCTTTAAATAAAGACTTGTCTTCCCTAAAACTAAGCACTTACTCATACAGTTGTGTGTGTGTGTTTACTTGTTTGTTTGTTTGTTTTTGTTTTTGTTTTTTTTTTGGGGGGGGGGTTGGTCATATAACCATGAATTCACACCTGAAGCTTTTTCTATACAATGGTCACCGTCACAACGTCTTCACTAGCAACAATCACAATCTCATATTTTATTACTATTTCCTCTGTTATTTTTTATCCAGCTCTCCCAAAGCAGTCTTGCTATTCCTCTCTCTTTACTGGTATTAGCCTGAGGATACCCTTATACGTTTGGTTTCTAGTTCCACAGCCTTTCTGAAATCTCTTTCTTTTTTATTAGTTTGGCATAGTAAGAGACAGTCATTTCTAATCATTTTTGCCATGTTTTATTTTGCCTCAGTTTTCAATAATTCTTACCTTTTGCTCATTTAGACATCATATACAAGCAAAATAGGTTTCAGGGGGAAAATGCCATTAAATAAAAGGTAAATAAAAGAAATTTATAAATTCAGATAAAAGAATAAAAGATATAAATAAATAAAAGTTAAATAAAAGAAATTAAGAAAGAAAGAAGGAAGAAAGAAAGAAAGAAAGAAAAGAAATAAAAACCTCTGTGTTTACTATAAGTGGCATTTTATAAATGCAGAGACAACGATTATCTTTAACCAAATGCTATATATTTGCCTTTTTTGTCTAAAATTTATTTTGGGTAAATATCAGCATCAATAAATCCAAGAGACTTCATATGTTATGATGTTTTAAAACTAAAATTCTTTCAGCAGAGTTTACCAATTGTATTCACAGTGTTTGCATAGCATTTATTTCACATAAAGATAAAATTATCAAATGAGCACTTTATTCAAATTGCCAAACTAACCAAGGTATAAAACATTCTGTAATTAATACTGAGTTATAAAAATATGTTCCAAATTAAGAAAAAGAGGTCCCAAAAGATATTAACATCATTGCAATGCTATGTAGTAGCCTGTGAATTAAAAATCAATTTTCAAATAATTTTGACATAAATTTTAAATGTCTACATTTTAACAATTATTTATATTTTTCTAATAATTAATTTAAAGTAATGGCAGAGGATAGAAAATTTTTCTATCAGCTATTATTTTCAGCTTTCTTCACATAATAAGTATGCACACCTTGCAGTCTTCCACAGTGCCTAGGTGGTCTTCTCTGATTTCAAGTGATTAAAATAAAACAGTTATGTCTTACCTTATAAAGTTTGTCAAACTGGAATTAAAGACTGATTAAGCAAATGCCAACGGCAAGGACCATTGTTGGGGATGGAGTTAGCTATTTGATATTGTTCTGTTCTGTGGAAAAAAAAATTATCTTTGCTTTTGGAACTTTTGCAATCTTTTATTTGTGTTTATTAGCCTAAGTTAAAGCAAGAGTGGTCAGGCATTTGGCCAGGGTGCAAGATCTGGGTGGGATCAGTAAGTAATTTAAAGGAACAGTGTCCTCTTGGAACAAGTCTATGTTCTCCAAACTGTTATAAAAATAACTTGAGCAGATTTTCTACATTTTCGGCATTTATTGACAGCCTGCCTTTGTGTCTCATACCATATCCTCCTTCTGTTTCTACATTTCTTTGCCTGGGGTGTGCTCTGTGTGATACTAGTTCCTAACTGCTCTGTGAGGGAGTGTAAATGACAACAGACTCAGATGCAAAACTGGTTTTTCAAGAGAGGCAATGGATTGAAATTATTGAAGCTGAATGAAGAGTATAGAGAAGTTCCTTATTCTAGCCTTTCTATGTCTGTGATTTTTGAAATTTTTCATACTACCATTGGTATTATATACAGTGAAAGAGTGATCTGAATTTAGTTCTGGTTTTGTCTCTAATATGGGGACCTCAGTTTCCCATTTATGAAATGAGGGAGTGAATAATTATTTATCAAGATCCTTCCAAAGTATAACACAAGAGCTAGGTTTACAGTGGTCATATTCTGAGCTCTCTGTTCCAGAAAGGTAGTCACTGAAGTGGCTCCGTTCTCTTTTTTCCTGTTTTCTACCTTCTGGTTACAACCCATATTAAGATGTTTATCAGTGCAAAACATACTGCCACGAAGCCACTCGACTCCTAGACAAGTAACAGACAGGCTTCTCAAGGAACTGTCTCACAGAGAGTAGCAAGATGATCAGAGATAGCAACACAAATCTTCACGTTATAATTATTTAAAAGTAGCCTTCTTAGGAAAGCATTTTGACATTTACAGATACACTTATTGTAACATAATAGCTTCTACTTCATGAACATTTTACCAGGTGTGAGGCACTGCGCTAAATGCTTCATTCACATAATGGCATTTAGCCCTCCCAAAGCATCACCACCTACGGTACAGTAAGTGTTGTAAGAATTCATTTTGCAGATGAGGATGTTGAGGCAGAGAAGAGTGTGGTAAGACTTTCTCACTGTCATACTAATGCTAGAGAATGCCAGAACAGGATCTTAACTCAGATGTATCTGAACCCTGAGCCTCACTTACAACAACTAACGCATTATTAAATTACGTGTCTGGGTAAACGTTCATGTTTTCATGGTTTCTGCACCACAAAGCAGTTTTTGAGGAACCGAGGAAATTTTGTGAGGCTTTGGTAATAGAAAAACAGTGGGTAACTGTGCAGAAGTACAAATGGAATTTCCCAGGAAGCAACCACATATATACCTTAAATAACCTGTGGATGTTTGCCACACTTATCACTTTTGTGAGATGAGAATCGTGGGACAAGGAAGTGGCTTTTTTTCAGGTCAATTCCTTTTTTTTCTGGGGTAAAGTACCAACTTGCGGAATAATAATAATACCTCTAAGAAGCAACCAGGCAACTCCTGGAGGGGAGAAATGGACTAAAGCCCTCCTGCTTCAGAAGTGTTCTGACTGAAGTTGGTGACAGGTTGGAGTCCTGCCTGCTCATCGTTTTCCTTTCATCCCCCAAGGTCAAATAGGGTAACCCACACCCAGGGTTTTCCACCTTTCATTCCTAGGTGTGGCAATCAGCACTACATTGGTTGATTGGGTAGATGACTCTGAAGAAAATCTTCTGTCCATTTACATGAAAAGGCTAGTTATATAAGGCAATTGGCTTTACGCACGGAGAAGCAAAATGGCTGGTGAA